TTTATTGTAGGTTTTTATGTGTAGTTGCTAAAATTTGAAGCAACTTAAAACTTCAGTTTTTAATAATGTTTATTCATTCTGAAGGGGGGGCGGGGGAGAGAGAGAGAGAGAGAACGAATGTGCACGCTGTGGTGGGAGAGAAGCGGGACAGAGAGGATCCCAAGCAGACTCCGTGCTATCGACACAGAGCCCAGTGCAGGGCTCGACCTCCTGAACCATGAGGTCATGACCTGAGCAGAAATCACAAATTGGACTCTTAACTGACTAAGCTAACCAGGCACCCCACAACTTAAAACTTCTAACAGTAGAGCAATAATTTTGAAAAATTAAGATACATCCTAATTTGGATTTTTACGCAGCTTTTATAGTTTGGTTCTCAATATTTGAAAGTTATCAGGAGACTTCTGATTTTGGCTGTGGCAGAGTAAAAGGGATTGAATTTACCCTGCTACCTGAAACAAAGAAAAAACTGAACAAAATGTATGAAAAACAAGTTTGAAGCCATTGGATATCAAGAAATGAAGGACAGTGATCTCCAAAAGATAAGAAACCAGAAGTTGAGCACTGTAGTTGCCTGGAGAGTTTCCAGACTGTAGTACAGGAAGGGCCCAGGTAGAGCCTGGAAGTTTACCTGAATTGAAGAGACAGAGCTGGAAATGTAAGGAGGTCACAGTAGGTAGAGTTCTCAGAGTAGAAAGCAAGATAGCTGCCCAGAGAGAGAGCACTCTGGAGATCAGAAGAGCCTCCTTCAGCCTGCAGCTTAACACTGGTTGATGTGTACCCATGAGGAAAGGACCTGACACCAGAGAAGGGGAATATTCCTTGAAGCTCACACAGGGCTAGCAGTAGTGCAGCAAATAATTAGAGCTAAGAAACCAACAAGGAGATAACATGGGATCATAAATGAATACACATCCAAATGAAGTGAGAGAAAGAGGGAAAAGGGAAAAAGAGCATAGGGGACAAGTAGAAAATAAATAGCTACCTTACTAATAATCACATAAATCACGTTAAGAATAAACCGTCAAGAAAAAAAAAAAGCATAAACCATCTATTTTGGTCTCAGTAGCTTAATTTTTTTTTGTGTCCCTTGCCTGAGGAGACATATCTAGAAAAATGTTGCTGTGGCCAACGTCAGGAAATTCCTCTCTGTGTTCTCTTCTAGGAATTTTATGGTTTTAGGTCTCACATTTAAGTCTTTAATCCATTTTGAGTTTATTCTTGTGTGTGATGTAAGAAATTGGACCAGTTTCAAACTTGTGCATGTAACTGTCCAGTTTTCCCAACACCATTTGTTGAAGAGACTCTCTTTTCCTCATGTATATTCTTGCCTCTTTTGTCATAGATTAATTAACTACATAAGCATGTATTTATTCCTGGACTTTTTATTCTATTGTATTGATGTATATGTCTATTTTTGTGCTAGTACCAAACTGTTTTGATTCTTATAGCTTTGTAGCATATCTTGAAATCTGTCATTGTAATACCTCCAGCTTTGTTTTCCTTTCTCAGAGATTGCTTTGGCTATTGGGGGTCTTTTGTTGTTACATACACATTTTAGTATTATTCTAGTTTTGTGAAAAATGCTATTGGTGTTTTGATAGGGATAGGTTTTTTGTGTTGAATCTGTAGATTGCTTTGGGTAGTATAGACATTTTAACAATATTAATTATTTCAGTCTATGAGCATGGATATCTTTCCATTTATTTGTATCACCTTCACTTTCTTTTATCACTGTTTTATAGTTTCCAGAGTAGGTCTGTCATTTGTTTGTTTAAGTTTATTTCTAGGCATTTTATTCTTTTTTGGTGTAATCAAAATGTATATTCTAAATATATATACTTTAATATATCTTTTCTATACCATAATAGATCTAGTTTTTTTAAAAAGATTTAGTTAAGTACAGTATGTGAAATAATAAATTCAGATCACACAGTTGTTGTGGTCTTTGAGTCATAAATTTGTGAGACCTATATTCATTTATCTCCTTATATTCATGATATCTCCTTTGGATATTTTTTTGTGCATATCCAGACTAAACCTCTTAAACTCTTAATTTCTAACTTCTTTTCCTCCTTTTGTCTTTATTTATTCTCTAGTTTTTTTGCATCTTTGTGTTACTTTTCATTTTCCCATTTTTCATACAAGAAGCTAGAGAATTATCCTTGACACTTATCCTGTACTTCATCATCAAGTTGTGTCATTGAGAACATATTCAAATCTGTAATCTTCTCCTCTTCACTACCACCACCACCCTGCTTCAATTTGCTGTCCTCTCTCACTAAAAAGAAAGAGCCTTCTTCTGTGCTGGCTCCCAGCTCAGAGCCTGGAGCCTATTTCAGAGTCTGTGTCTCCCTCTCTCTCTGACCCTCCCCTGCTCACTCTCTCTCTCTCTCTCTCTCCTAGAAATAAATAAAAATATTAAAAAGAAAAAAGAGCCTTCTTGATTATATTCCCTAGTTTTATTCTTTTTTTTTTTTTTTAATGTTTTATTTATTTCTTGGAGAGAGAGAGAGACAGCGTGAGCAGGGGAGGGTCAGAGAGAGAGGGAGTCACAGACTGAAACAGGCTCCAGGCTCTGAGCTGGCAGTCAGCACAGAGCCCGACGCGGGGCTCGAACCCACGAACCGCGAGATCACGACCTAAGCGAAAGTCGGACGCTTAACCGACTAAGCCACCCAGGCACCCCTTCCCTCGTTTTATTCTTGACCCCTTCAATCCAGTTTCCAGATTATAGCTAGAGATGATCTTATGAAGATGTTCACTTAAATCATGATACTTCCCTGCTATGATCTTTTTGCTGTCTTTTTGTTGCTCTTAGAATAAAGTCTGAATCCTTTAAATATAATCAAGTTCCCAACCACAGAGGCTAATTTTTAGTTTTTTTGAAATCTCCAAGATCTTTTTGCTCCATAACTTTCTCCCATGGTATTTTCTGAACCTGTACTAGTTTTGCCACTACTCTTTCAGTGGCTTGCAATGCATGCTTTTCAGTCTTAGCTTAAATGCCGCCTCTTCAGAGAGGCCTTTCCTGACTCATCCAGTCCAAATTGGCATCCACACCAAATACCTTGTGAGTTTTCACTGTAGCTATTCTTCGAGGTTTTGCGGTGTGAGGAAGGAGTGAGGGAAGTTTTTGTAAGTGTGTATGAGAGATTACTTGATTAATACCTCTTTCCTATACGAATCCAGAGAGTTCCTTGGCAGTGGAGACCTCTCTTGTTTGCTACCATGTAGCCATTACGTGGCTCAGTTCATGGTACAGTTGACAGTATTTATTAGATGAATATTTAGAGAAAATGTGTTGGAAAGAAATATACCAGTGTTGCCATTTAGTGTTGCATGTTGTAAGATTTCCACACTGAACTATTAGAACTTTTCTAATAAGAATAATTATAAATAGGGGTGCCTGGGTGGCTCAGCCGGTTGGGCGTCCGACTTCAGATCGGGTCATGATCTCTTGGTTCATGGGTTTGAGCCCCGCATCGGGCTCTGTGCTCACAGCTCTCCGAGCCTGGAGCCTGTCTTCAGATTCTGTGTCTCCGTCTCTCTCTGACCCTCCCCTGCTCATGTTGTCTCTCTCTCTCTCTCAAAAATAAATAAAACATTAAAAAAAGGAAAAATTATAAATAAAATGCCTATGCTTTTTGCCTTTACTAGGGGTGAAAAAGGAGCTCTTATTATGAGACTTGGGTTTTTAGTTCTTGATATTTTGTAAAATAAGTAGCCTTGATAATATTTACTTGACTTTTAATACCTTGGAGCTGCATAGCTCTGTACCTTACTTTTAGGTTGTATTGTTCACAAATGATGGCTTCTGGGTTAGGGTAAAGCAGAAACTTAGTACAAATGTTAGGTATAATTCACCATAAAGGGTGTATGTATTTCTTGCCTGGATCTATCTATACTTTATTTACCATGTTGTCTTCTTTAGCTTAGAGTGTCTTGGTGTATTTTTCTATTTCTGTCACATTTTTTTAATAGGTTGCCCATACTTAGGATATATTACATTCTTAACAGTTTTGACTAGTTTTCACTAAATGGAGAAAATTAAGATTTTCTGAATTCTCGGGGCGCCTGGGTGGCTTAGTCGGTTAAGCGTCCGACTTTCACTTAGGTCATGATCTCGCGGTTCGTGGGTTCGAGCCCTGCGTCGGGCTCTGTGCTGACTGCCAGCTCAGAGCCTGGAGCCTGTTTCAGTCTGTGACTCCCTCTGTCTCTGACCCTCCCCTGCTCACGCTGTCTCTCTCTCTCCTAGAAATAAATAAAACATTAAAAAAAAAATTAAAAAAAAAAAAAAAGATTTTCTGAATTCTCAGTATCCATCTCTGGCGGGTGCTGGGTGTATGGTGAATATCCTCCAAATCTCTTAAAGTTTCTATTTAAAATCATACATGTTTGTTTTTTAAAATATAAAATGAAGCTTTGTGTCTTTGAGGTAATGATTTGTTAAATAGGCTTATTAGTTCAGTTGACCCTGGCAACGTAGGTTTGAACTGTATGGGTCCACTTACCATGGACGTTTTTTAGTAACTGCAGTACAGGACTATAAATGTGTATTCTGTTCCAGTTTTCTTCACATTTCCTTTTCTCTAGCTTACTTTATTGTAAACCTACAGTGCCTGATACATATAACATACAGAATATGTGTTAATGTAAGACTTCTGGTCAGCATTCCACTGTCATGAGCAAGTGTTTTGGCAAATTCAGAGTGACACATGGATTTCCGGCTCTGTGGGGAGTTGGTGCCCTGACTCCCTGTGTTATTCAAGGGTTACCTGTACTTTGAAGTTCTAAAAATACAGCTCTCAGAAAATTATGAATGTGATTGAGTGGCTTATTACATTTATATTTTACTCATTTAAATGAACTTCTCACCCAGAAATGCTCTTTAGGATTTTATTTAAATGTTTGTATGGTTTTGTTTTTCTTTTTAAAATGCCTTTGTGAATGTGATTTCATTTACATGTGTAATAAATGGATACTGATGTTTTTAACAGATAAAATAATTAGGCACAGGGCTTGTACCCTGAAGGACACTGCTCATGCCATCATTGCAGCTGAATTGGATCCAGAATTCAATAAACTCTGTGAAGAAATTAAGGAAGCCAGAATAAAAAGAGGTAAGTTCTAGAAAGAAACTTGGCCACTGAAGACCAAGAGTCCTTGAATGAATGTTACTGTGTGGTGTCTCTTCAGCGTTGCTGGCAGTGTTAACATAATGCATCTTGAGGGCACAGACTGTGTGATTTCTGATATTAATACGTGTCATCTAAATTCTCAAATATCTGTGTATTTTTAAGTTTGTTTTGGGAGAGAGAACGTGCATGTGGGGCAGGGGAGAGAGAGAAGAGAGAACGGGAATCCCAAGTAACTCTGCACCAGCAGCACAGAGCCTGGTGGGGGGCTTGACCTCTGAACTGTGACATCATGACCTGAGCTGAAGTCACACACTTAACTGACTGAGCCCTCAAAGATACTTTAATTTTACTTTTTGTGAAAGTTTTAGTGCAGCAATGCAAATTACAGGAATGGAGTTCAGTTAGTGAATTTTTTTTTTTTTTTTTGGCAGGAGTATACCTTTGTTAATTATTGATTTTTTTCATTCTTAAATTAAAAAAAATAAAAATAATTTTTTTTTTTTTAATTCCTGGGAGAGAGAGAGAGAGAGAGAGAGCGTGAGCAGGGGAGGGTCAGAGAGAGAGGGAGTCACAGACTGAAACAGGCTCTAGGCTCTGAGCTGGCAGTCAGCACAGAGCCCGACGCGGGGCTCGAACCCACGAACCGCGAGATCATGACCTAAGCGAAAGTCAGATGCTTAACCGACTAAGCCGCCCAGGCGCCCCAATAAAAATGGTTTTTAATCTTTTTTTTTTTTTTTTTAAGAGAGAGAGGATGCAAGTGAAAGTGAGCAAGAGGCAGAAAGGGGAGAGAGAGAGAGAGAATCCCACAAAGGACAGAGAGAGAAGCAGGGCTCACCTGAATTGAGGCTCATGTTTTTACTCAAGGCAGGGCTCACATTCACACGAAGTGGGGCTTGAGCTCACCCATGTGAGGCTCGAGCTCACCCGATGTGGGACTTGAACTCACAGAACTGTGAGATCATGGCCTGAGCCAAACTCAGATGCTTAACTGACTGGGCCACCCCGGTGCCCTACTGATTTTTATTCTTAAAGGATTTAGATAGGTTTTCATATCTGTAGAGGGCTTACTTTTTAAAAGATTTTAGAAATGCTGTTTTTGTTTTCCCCATTGATGTTTATGTGCAGTTTTGTTAATATAAAAATAAACACAGGATTAACAAATGTGTTCTGTTCATTCAGTATAATCCTGTCCTTGAGGCACTCACACTTTAGTGGGAGACAGAGAGGAATGTAAAACAAATCAAGTACAATTGAGGTAGATGAACTGGCTGAAACATGGTGATGGCACAGAGGAGAGACCTCCTGTTAGGGATGGCAGCACTTTGTCCAGACCTTGGAGAATGGCTATAGGAGTGTGGTCTCTAGTGGAGCAGAAAAGGGAGCAGGGCCAGAGAAGGAGGAGGCGTTCCTATGCACAGTAGATAACAGCACGTGTAAAGGCACAGGATGTGAAATAGCATGGTGTATTTGAAGAGCTGAAAACTGTTCGGTATTGCTGAAGCTGTACAAAATGGTGGGAAATAGAGCCCAAGAGATGAGCTGAGTCCAGGACATTGAAATTAAGAAGTTTTTTTTTCTACTTCTTTAGGCCCTCCCTGGTCACCGAATCTTATAATATCCGGTCTGGACATCATAGCATGTGGCATTTTGTCTTTTTTTTGGGTCTCTCTTCCTTATTTGGAATTTAAGTGTTGTGAATGGCCTGTTCATAGCCCTGCTGAAGTCCCTAGAACTCTGTCCTATAAATATTTGAATGAATCAATTGCAATGCTAAGGAGCTTAGACTTTTTCCTGTAGGTCAGTGTCTTTCAAAACGTATGTGCTTGATACCCACATCAACTTATTAGACTTAGTGAATTAGATTTTCTGACAGCAGTGAGGCTGAGAAATCTGCACTTCAACAAACTATTCCAGTGCTTTTTGTGTAGTTTGAGAATTCTTGCCATAGAATGTGTCTTTGAAGTATGTAAGCTGTGGAATGAATTGGTAAATTGCTTAGGCAGCAGGAAAATAGCAAGGTCTCAATGTGGCAGGATAGGAAGATGAGAGACCAGTTAAAAAACTGTTGGAGCCAGTTTGGAAAACAGTTTGGCAGTTCCTAAAATATTAAGCATAACATTTACCATACAACCCAGTGATTCCACTCTTAGGAAACAACCCAAGAGAAATGAAAACATATGCTCATATAAAGACTATTCATAAGAGCTAAAAACTGGAAAGAACACAAATGTCCTATCAGCTGGTGAACGGGTAAGCAAATGGTATACGGATACTGCTCAGCCATAAAAAGGAACAAAGTACTGATACATGGTACAACATAGATGAACTTCAGAAACGTTATCCTAAGTGAAAGAATCTAGTCACAAAAGACCACCTGCCGTGTGATTCCATTTATGTGAAACATTCACAAAAGACAAGTCCCTGGAGACAAAAAGTATATTAGTGGTGGCATGGGATAGTTACCTAAAATTGAATTGCTGTGGTGATTGCATAGCTCTGTAAGTTTACTAAAAATCATTTAACTGTATGCTTAAAATGAGTGATTTTTATGTTATGTAAATTGTACCTCAGTAAAGCTTTTGGAGGAAAAAACCTGCTGGAGTTGTGCAGAGTTTTAATTATTGAAGAAGGCATTGTTAGGAAAGGAAAAGTCAAAATTGGCTGCCATATTACAGGTTTAATGACTTAGTAGATACTAATACTACCAACAGAGGTAGGGAATAACTTCATAGAGATAGGGATGAACAGGTTTTTTTGTGGAGATAGATAAACTAGTTATCTTTAATTTGACCTTTTTTTCCCTTAATTTTTAAAAATTTATTTTTGAGACAGAGAGAGAGCATGAGCGGGGAAAGGAGGGGGGCGGGTGACACAGAATCCGAAGCAGACTCCAGGCTCTGAGCTGTCAGCACAGAGCCTGATGCGGGGCTTGGATGCTTAACCAACTGAGCCACCCAGGTGCCCCTTAATTTGACCTATCTTTAGGATATCTTTTGATATCCAGTTGGAGATATCAAAGAGGCGGTTGGATATATGAGTCAGAAGCTCAAGACATGTTTGGAGTGAACATGTGGATTTGGGAATTATTATGAAGTGGTAGTAGAAGCTGAAGGCATGAATGATACTTTATGGTAGAAGGTATAGATCAGAGTGAGAAGATAAGGGATTCCAGAGATAACCCTGAGAAACATCAATATTTAAGGACCACCTAGAAGAAACAAGTCTAGTGAAGGAAATTGAGATGGAATGGTTACTCTTATGAAGATAATATAGGAAAACCAAACTTATTGCAGTGTGGTGTGACAGGCAGCTCACATCAGCTAACCCATCCATGTGAATGGGGTTTAATGGCTCAATAAATACTTACTACATTCTAAGATGGCAGAAATAATGACTTTTTGACAATGTATTATCATTGTCCTATAGTCATAAGAACGTGTGCCTTTGCAAATTAAACTGAGTAAACATAGGGTTCCTTTAAGGATTAAGTGGTAAGCTTGGCCTGCTGGGTTATTTTGTTATGATTTTATACCTAGTTTCTTTCCCATCTTGAAACAAATGATGTTTTTTTCATCCAAATTACAAACTGTCCAGGTGTAATTAATGACTAAAACTTAGTTCTATATTTCAAACTTTATTTATTTATATATTTTTACCTTGTGGGTTTATGTAGCTGGGAATATTTAAATAGGTGTTGCTTATCTTCTGCCTGCAGGCTTATCGGTAACAGCAGAACAAATAAATCTTCATGGCACTGGAGCTCGGAAGACAGAAACTAGAGTTGAAGAGGCATTTCGGCATAAGCAAAGAAATCCATTGGATGTCTGGCACAACTCTGCAAATAAATGTGCATGTGAGTGTTTGAGGAGACCCTGTTATCCGCAAGTGGGGACAGCTGAGAAGGATGCAGATTTGTTAGGAATTAGGGACACAAACCGGGTGCTGTTGTTTTCCCACACGTCTTTTTCATCTTCTCTCTGTTCAGAGGTGAAGAGCTTGTGGGGTCAGATGCTGGATGAGGAGTATGCTTCTCTCACTGTATTTCCTCTTTTTTATCTATATTCAGTACGTGCTGCTGTTCATTGAACTAGGTTTGAATGTTTTCAGTTTTAAACTTTAGATTTTGGGTAGAGATGTGGAGCCAACAGGCTTTTTCATCCACCTCTGCCTCCAATCCTAACCTCTTGCTCTGCAATATACCAGATGTTCTGTTTATGGTGGAAATGGAAACTTTGACTTAAGGGAGTGGCTGACAGTAGGAAGTTCATTTTTCTGGGAGAGTTATCTTGTGCTCAGTGTGAAAAATGTGTACAGCCCTTTTAATCTAGTTTTGTTTAAGTGAGATGCACTTAGGGAAGATTTAGTGTTCTTAAGTTTTCGTCACTTTTCTTCATTCATGGTAATTTATAAGGTTTCTGAAAGACCAATGTTAACGAACACAGCATCTTCCTAATATGGCCCCTATGTTTCACTGAGGATAGCCATCCTTGGAAGATATATGCTGTTCTGGTATAAAAGTGTTGAAACGGTCAATAAAGCTGGCCATAATATGTTCTTTTTCCAGTGACATTGAATTTGAATTAATGAACCATACTCATTGTTTTAGCTTTTCTTTTTGTGATAAGTGGCATTCATATGTGAGAAATTTTGAAAGAGTTAGTAGTATATTTGGTTCCATGAAACTGATTAAAGGTATTTGGTGTAGTTGTATCTTGGATCATGATCTGGATTATAGAACATAGCAGTCTAATTTAAACTTTCATGCCCTATACATTCTCTACATCTGATACAAATATTTACTAACTAAAACCCACTGAAAATTGGCTATAAGCAGTTTAAGTTCCTTTAAACATTAAAATGTTATTTTAATCTACAAATGTGAGTTTTGTTTTCTCTTACCAGTAGATGGCATATGTGACTCATCATTTGTCTGTTTTACATTAATTTACTTGAATTATAAATCCAAATATCCCTAAGGGAGAGTTGCTTTCCTGACGTCTTAGTTTTGAAAACAAGCTCAGAGGGGCTATAAAAATGGACTCTAAAGATTGTGTCCCTTCATTGTTTTTCACACAAATCGCCCCATGAAAGGAAGTGGTATGTTAAAGATTAGTTCCATAAATGTATATACCACAATATGCTAGGTGCTGTGGAGATGCAGCGGTGCCTAAAACAAGAATTCCCTGTTCCTGTGGAGCTTATATGATCAATTTCTCTTATTTTACCAAAATCATACTAACCGTTAGAAATAATTATATAAGGAGGAGAAAAATAATTTCTATCTTGACATTCTCCCAAGTGAGAACATTTTCTTCGTTGGTAGCTGGGATGAAAGTGTTAGAAATAAACTTGCTTCAGTAGGCCTTCTAAGCCTTTGCTTAGTGTACTATAGATCAAATAATTGAGCTGGCTCTTGATTGAGCAGAGCTGAGCTGCTGCTTGTTCTAGAGTTCTATAGCTCTAGTTCTATAGTGAGGAAAGAAAAAGGGAACCTCTTATACTTTTGGTTGCATGTTTGGAGAATAAGTGAGGTCACAATGTCAGGAGTGACTTGTCAGGTAGTAAAAACCTAATAGCTCCACCTTTTAGAGAAAGAACAAGCTGAATTTTTTCCCCATTTTTAATGTGTACTGGATTAGTTTTTCATATAGTTAGTAGAATGCTTACAGATGCCCATCACTTTAGCTTATGTACAGTTTTTAACAGTAAACTAATAAATTCTCCAGTTACCCTGTAACTGTAAATTATAAAAAACAGAAACTAGTAGGGGGAAAAGAAATGGAGAGATGATTCAAATGACATTATGGTTTTGAAGGAAAAATATATTTTTAACCAAATGACTAACTTGAATTTTGGAAATAATTTCAGCAATCTTTAGTGGATTTATTCTTAGATAAGAAAGAAGAGTAATATTTATAACAACATTTGTCCATTTCCTGTGAATACCTTGGTGTCTTTACATACAGACACAGTATGGATTAAAAATGAAAGGATAAAAAAGTATGTAAACACATATTTGGGGAATTAAAGATTCCTGGGCCTATTGTTAGCTGGAAGTACTCATAAAGCTTTTGATGGTTTCTAGCATCTAAAGATAAATACAGTCTTTTCAATTTTTGTGGGTCGGTCTTTTCATATAACTGACTAAATATTTGTTTTTAGTGTTTTGTTAATGTTGTTGCTACCTTGATAGCAGAGGGCTTAATTTTTTTCCATATTTTAAAATAACAGCCGTGTAACCAATTAATCCTCTTTGATGAACCATTTGTAGTAGAGGAGACTAACAGTTGGCTAACCAGATTGTCTCTATAACCTTTATAGGGTTTTTGTCCATGACTGTGCTTACTGTGGGGATTCCTTCTTCTGGAAGAACCATGCAATAGATGGTTCTTTGTGGGATACTTGTAACTATTCTACCTTGATATACTGGATCATGTGTTCGTTTTCTCTCATGGTTTAGGAGCTTTTGGGTGATGCTGGGAAGCATTCACCTTCCTGGTGGAAATCCAGGGCTATGGCCCCAGACTTTCTAGGCAGCCTAGCCTGGTATTGTCATTTCTGAAATGTACCTAATAGATGCATGGCCCCTGGATGTTAGGAATTAGGAATAGTTATAATTGTAAGATAACAGAAAAAAATTAATGCTGGGTAAACTCATACAAGAAATAAATTTTTAAAAATTTCATCAGGAAAAAAACTCTTCATTCTGCAGAGTTCATCTCTGACTTCATATTCATTCTACTTGTAAGTTTTGGGGAGTAGTCAGCATGGATTTCTTTTTTTCCCCCCAATATTTTGTTTATTTATTTATTTTTTTACAAATAGTTTATTGTCAAGTTGGTTTCCATATAACAACCAGTGCTCATCCCCAGAAGTGCCCTCCTCCATGCCCATCTCCCCCCTTCCCCCCACATCCATCAGTCTTCAGTTTGTTTCTCAGTATTCGTCTCTCATGGTTTGCCTCTCTCCCTTTCCCCCACAATTTCCCCCCTTCTTCTCCCCCATGGTCCTCCGTTAAGTTCCACCTAATCCTCCTATACGTGCAAACATATGATATTTGTCCTTCTCTGCCTGAGTTATTTCACTCAGCATAACACCCTCAAGGTCCATCCATGTTGCTACACATGGCCAGATTTCATTGTTTCTCATTGCCATGTAGTATTCCATGGTATAGATAAACCACCTCTTCTGGATCCATTCGTCCGTTGATGGACATTTAGGCTCTTTCCATGTTTTAGCTATTGTGGAGAGTGCTGCTATGAACATTGGGGTCCATGTGCTCCTATGCCTCAGCATTTCTGTATCCCTTGGGTAAATTCCTAGCAGTGCTATTGCTGGGTCCTAGGGGAGTTCTATTGTTAGTTTCCTGAGGAACCTCCACACTGTTTTCCAGAGGGGCTGCACCCGTTTACATTCCCACCAACAGTGTAGGAGGGTGCCCGTTTCTCCACATCCTCGCCAGCATCTAGAGTTCTCTGATTTGCTCATTTTAGCCACTCTGACTGGCGTGAGGTGGTATCTCAGTGTGGTTTTGATTTGTATTTCCCTGATGAGGAGGGATGCTGAGCATCGTTTCATGTGTCTGTTGGCCATCTGGATGTCCTCTTTGGAGAAGTGTCTGTTCATATCTTCTGCCCATTTCTTCACTGGGTTGTTTGTTTTTCGGGTGTAGAGTTTGGTGAGTTCCTTATAGATTTTGGATATTAACCCTTTATCTGATATGTCATTTGCAACTATCTTTTCCCATTCCATTGGTTGCCTATTAGTTTTGTGGGTTGTTTCCTTGGCTGTGCAGAAGCTTTAATCTTGATGAGGTCCCAATCGTTTATTTTTGCTCTTGATTCCCTTGCTTTTGGGGATGTGTCAAGTAAGAAGTTGCTGCGGTGGAGGTCAAAGAGGTTGTTTCCTGCTTTCTCCTCTAGGGTGTTGATAGTTTCCTGTCTCACGTTCAGGTCCTTTATCCATTTTGAGTTTATTTTTGTGCATGGTGTGAGAAAATGATCTAGTTTCATTCTTCTGCATGTTGCTGTCCAGTTCTCCCAACACCATCTGTTAAAAAGGCTGTCTTTTTTCCATTGGATATTCTTTCCTGCTTTGTCAAAGATTAGTTGGCTGTATACCTTTGGGTCCAGCTCTGAGTTTTCAATTTGATTCTATTGGTCTATGTGTCTATTTTTGTGCCAATACCATACTGTCTTGATGATGACAGCTTTGTAGTAGAGGCTAAAGTCTGGGATGGTGATACCTCCCGTTTTGGTTTTATTTTTCAGTATCACTTTGGCTATTCGGGGTCTTTTGTGGTTCCATACAAATTTTAGAATAGTTTGTTCTAGTTTTGAGAATTATGCTGGTGCAATTTTGATTGGAATTGCATTGAATGTGTAGATTGCTTTGGGTAGTAATGACATCTTAACTATATTTATTCTTCCTATCCATGAGCATGGAATGGTTTTCCATTTCTTTGTGTCGTCTTCAATTTCCTCCATAAGTTTTCTATAGTTTTCATCATACAGATCTCTTATATCCTTGGTTAGGTTTATTCCTAGGTATTTTATGTTTTTTGTGCAATTGTGAATGGGATCAGTTTCTTGATTTCTCTTTCTGTTGCTTCATTATTGGTGTATAAAAATGCAACCAATTTCTGTACGTTGATTTTGTACCCTGCAACTTGGCTGAATTCTTGGATCAGTTCTAGTAGGCTTCTGGTAGAGTCTGTTGGGTTTTCTATGTAGAGTATCATGTCGTCAGTCAGCATGGATTTCAAGAGCTAAGTAGTTTTTGTGTGTTATACTGGTACGGGTTTACTTTCATTTGGGTCTTATTTAGTGAATATTTGTAAAACAAGTATTATACTCCCAAGTTCTACATATCTGTTTTCCTTCCCTGTGAAATAGTTCGAGTTCGGAGAAAATCAAGGCGGCGATCACAATGGGGTAAAGGAATTATTAAGAAAAGGAAAGTCAATAATTTAAAAAAAGATGAAGAGGACACCAAATTTGCAGACTATGAGAACCATACAGAAGACAGGAAGTTGCTAGAGAATGGAGAGTTTGAGGTAAGCACTGACTGCCATGAAGAAAATGGAGAAGAAACTGGAGACCTCTCTATGACCAATGATGAATCATCGTGTGACATCATGGACATGGAACAGGGGCAGAGGCTTAACAGTGGAGCAGGCACAAAGGAGAATTTTGCATCTACTGAAGAGGAAAGTTCCAATGAGTCTCTACTCGTCAACAGCAGCAGTTCTCTAAATCCAGAGCAGACATCTAGGAAAGAGCCTTTTCTTAAAGGAAGCTGTCTAAATGGTGAGGCCTCCACAGACAGTTTTGAAGGAATACCAGTTCTGGAGTGTCAGAACGGCAAAGCTGAAGTTGTTTCTTTCTGTGGTAGTGGAGATAAATGTAGTTCTGAACAAAAGATTCTCCCGGAGGACCAGTCAAAGGAAAACCCAGAAATTTCCAATGAACATCTTGGAGATGATCCTGAGAACCTGGAGGCACTGGAATGTAGCAATAATGAGAAGTTAGAACCTGGCCCTGATGTGGAAGTTAAAGATGCAGAACTGGATAAAGAAGGTAGAGCGAATATTTTTAAAAACCTGAAATTTTAAACTCCTGAGTTAACTAATTGCTTATTTTGTCTGGCCCTTAGTAGCAGTAGTTGATAACCAGTTATCACTCTCTGAAAATCTATCAAAATTTTTGTCTCTTTCCCTGGAAAAATGTACACGTGAATACTACATTTTGGTGGAAATTTCAGAGGGTTTATGATCTAGAATGCATTGCTTTCCTGGCTGCTTACTCTTTTGCTTCCTACCTTATTGTCATCCTTATCTTATTGGATTTATGGCTAAAGTAAACCCACAGGTGTTAAGAAGTTGGAATTCTGTTAAGAATTGTTGGGATGGGGTAGCGTAGGCACGGGTTGAGAAGACTTGGATACTAGAGCAGTATGGTATGTTACACTCTTGTAGACTCATTTTAAATGACCACTTCTGTTCATTATAATCATGTGACTTTGAGCTGGTTACTTATGTTCTCCAAACCTGTTTTCCCATCTTCTTCTTTTTTTTTTTAATTTTTTAATATTTTATTTCTAGGAGAGGGAGAGAGAGACAGCATGAGCAGGGGAGGGTCAGAGAGAGAGGGAGTCATAGACTGAAACAGGCTCCAGACTCTGAGCTGGCAGTCAGCACAGAGCTTGACGCGGGGCTCGAACCCACGAACCGCGAGATCATGACCTAAGTGAAAGTCGGACGCTTAACCGACTAAGCCATCCAGGCGCCCCGTGTTTTCCCATCTTCTGAATTAAACTTCAGAGGGGTGTCACTGCAGAGATTAAATAAGTCATGTATATTCATCGCCTGTCCTGGTACCTGGCACATACTGAGGTATATTCATTCCAGGCATTCACTGTTAATTTAATCTGAGGGATGTTGAGTCTAAGGGGTCCATTGCTTTGTAAGGCCAGTAGTAGAGGAAGCAGCAGAATGTGCACTGCCAGATCTACCTTGTTCTCGCAGACGCAGAGCACTCTGCCAGCTCCTGATTTCCTGTGGCTATGCTATTCTTTTAAGAAGCAGCAGTAATGGGGGCCTGGGTGTTCCTAGCCCTACTTTGTTTTTCATTCTTTAGTGCATAGTAGGATGGGGTGAGTTAGAGGTCTATCTACCCTTTGAATATACATTTCTATCCTGACCAGGTACTCTTTTAACACAAGGCTATTTTGAAATTCTGTCTTGCTCTCTAAATTGTGTGGAGTTATATATAGCTTTAGCCTGGGATTTGGACTATGTGGGAAAAGTTTTTTGCTGCCAGTTTTTGAGCCCTTTAGCAGAATTAGGAAGTAGGAAGATAAAATTCAAAGTCTTAGAATTCTTTTAATGGATAAAGAGAGATGTGTGTGTGCTGTTCTTAAATGCTACCTGTGGAGAATTTTTCTTTTTCTTCAACATTTAATAATAGAAGGTAGTTTTAAGAGCAATATTTGTTCTGGTATTTATTTATATTTATCATATTTACAGAACTTTAAAAATGTGGTGCAGCTAGGGTTAAGTAATGACTGGGACAGAGTGGGAGAAAGGGAGAGCTCTTTCTGATGAGGCACTTTGGGTACAAGGCAAGGAATCCTTTTTAGTGTTCTTCACTATGAGATTTTAGTAAGCTTACAGAAAAGGTTTAAGTTAATATTATGTTCAGTTGATTATCTAAAAACTTCAAAGATATTTGTTGTGTAAGAGCTTTACCTGGCGTTTTCACTTGTGAATGTCAGGGAGGGCGGTGTTACCTCCTACAAGTTGTCAGGCTCCTGGAAGTCCATAGATCCCCCTGCCCTCGTTAGCCCTCAGAGTGCCTGGTGCTGTCAGATTATGCTCAGCCACCTCAGAATTTCTGTGTGTGTGTGTGTGTGTGAGAGAGAGAGAGAGAGAGAGAGAGAGAGATAAGATGTTGAGAGGAGAATGTTTAGATTATGGTATTTCACTCTAAGGTAGGAAAGATCACTAGCCCTATTACACTTTAAACAGGCTTATATTTTTAAGGAAAATTGTCATAACCCACATCAGTTTCTAATAGAATTCTGGGCAATGTAAAAGAGAAAAATAAGATATTTCAGTTAATGTTGAGGAAGATTTTTTTCTTCATAAGGGATATATGTGTATAGAGAGATTGGCCTCACTTTCTGTTTGTATCTGTTGTTCTAGGTTGCTTCCCCTCTTCCAGCTCCGAAAGCTCCAATTTTTTAAAATATTTATTTAGTTATTTTGAAAGAGACAGAGCACGCTCAAGGGAGGGGCAGAGGGAGAGGGACAGAGAGAATCCCAAGCAGGCTCCATGCTCAGCCTGCAGCCCACTGCGGGGCTTGATCTGACAACTGTGCGATCGGGACTTGAGCCGAAATCAAGAGTCAGATGCTTAACAGACTGAACTGCCCAGGTGCCCTTGAAAGCCCCAAATTATAAAATGATGGCTATCTTAAAAAGAGTGGAGGCTGCTTTATAAGTTAGTGCTTAAAGGTGAAGGTTGCTTTTCTCTGCTTTTAAGTGGATATGTTTATTAGATGATATTCTAATACGGCTTGACTTTCATAGTTGTGGTTTAGTTCTTTTTAATGTGGGTTACTTATTCTTACCAAAAAAAAAAAAATCATTTACCATTTAAAGAATAGACCCTTATTCCAAATAGTTTTTGTGGAATTTATAGTTGTTTAAGCCTGATTTTTCTTAACTTTTACTTGCTGCAGTGCATTTTTTTTTTTCAATTATAGGTGTTTCTAAAGTAAAGAAATGTCGTAAGATAATTTTAGAGCAGGCAAAACCAACAAGCCTGGAACTGGTTCCGGAAGAGCCCTGTGAGCCTGTGCCACCTCTCATAGTTGATCATGAGAGATTGAAGGTAAGCTTAACTATTCCCAGTTTATGTTTTTAAAGATTTTATTTTTAAGTAATCTCTCTACCCAACATGGAGCTTGAACTCACAGCCCTGAGATCAGTAGTTGCATGCTCTGCTGACTGAGCCAGCCAGGGCCCCCTCAGTCAATTTTAAATGAATGGAAACACATTTAAATATGTTTGTAGGCAGTTGAATAAAGCTAGTTTTGATAATCTCTTGCTTTAACCTAAGAATATAAGTGCTTTAGGACTTGCAGTAAAAAAGAGTTTTGTGTATTTTGAAGGATTTAGAAAATGGTGTTGGTAATAAACTAAGCCCTAGAGTCTTCTAAAATCAGGTTGTCACTGTTGCATTATAGCCTGTGTTGTCTGTTCCCTAACCATTTGAATATAACTGTTTCAGTGTGAACAATGAAACCAAACTTTATTTTATTCTCTTTTATTCTAATTTTTCTTAGAAATTGCTTGATTTGTTGGTAGATAAAAGCAACAATTTGGCAGTTGATCAACTTGAGAGATTATATTCTCTTCTTAGTCAGTGCATCTATCGTCATCGTAAAGATTATGACAAATCACAACTTGTAGAGGTAAGTGCTCAGTTCATCCTTAGAATAAAGAGATGTGTGCTTTTACTTGTCCTCCCAAAAAAGGGAAAAAAAGTTATTTTAGTCTCTGTCTTTCACAAAGTAACTGAAGAATGTTTTGAAAATTTAAGATTAGAAGACTTGTTAAGAGTTATAGTTTGTTTTTGTTTTTTAAATTTTTTTAATGTTTTGTTTATTTCTGAGAGAGAGAGAGAGAGAGAGAGAGAGACAGCGGGAGCAGGGGAGGGTCAGAGAGAGATGGAGACACAGAATCTGAAGCAGGCTCCAGGCTCTGAGCTGTCCGCACAAAGCCCAACACAGGGTGCAAACCCACAAACTATGAAATAATGACCTGAGTGGAAGTTGGGTGCTTAACCGACTGAGCCACCTAGGTGCTCCAAGAGTTTGAAGAGTAAAGCCTTTCTCTATCATTTTGTCTCAGGACAGAAGTAATCTCGGATTCTTTGTTTATCAAAACACAGAAATTCGTGGTTCTGGGTTGGGAAATACACAGAATAGCATGCCACAATTCTCTTGTCCCTTTCTTGTTACTGACATTACTAAGCATATCACTTGGGCCAGTTGAATGTGGGGATGGCCTTACAGTCCTTACCAGTGCTACCTAGGCAGCTACTGCTGATTAAAGGAATGGGCCTGAGCAGTGAGATCTGTTTGCCACCCCATTAATGATTAGAAGAGAATTTAAAAGTCATCTCATTAATCAGATCTAGGCCTACGAAATGGCTGCACAAAGGAGTGCTTGTTCTTTAGATAGACACTTTTCATGTGAATTATTCCCTTTCTAGACAACTTTGGGCCTTATAAATATGAACTCATGTCTGTTCATATAATTTATATCATCAAGCCACACTTCTGCTTTTTGAAGTCATCTGAGCAAATAGAAACCCTCTAAATGGCTAAGTGACTTAGTTAGACTCCCTGTTCATTTGCCTGTTATCTTATTTATCTGGAGGTCTGGTTATTAAGTATTTATTGAACGCCTATAGTTCCAGATAGTGTGCTAGATGTTTGGGCTGCAAAACATGAACAAGACAGTCCCTGCTCTCAAGGAGCATTTCTAGTATATTAAAGGTCTGTATTTACAGGATGAGATTATTTTTCATTCATAATAAGTAATACTGGACTTAAAGAAAGAGAGCAATCACACTTTAATGAGTTACATTTTTATGAATCAATACTGTCATTATGCAGTAGTTAGAAATAAGAAAGCACAAACGAGAAATAAAAACATCACCCACATCCCTCCATCTAGAGGAAACTAGTGAGTATTAATCTTTTGGAATATCTTCCATGCTTTAAGAATGCTTGGATGTACCTCACATGTGTATAAGTGTGTGAATGTATATTTAAAAATTGAGATCATGTTGTATATTGTTTATTGACTTTCCTTATTCAGTAATAAGATGATGAAACATTTAGCAAGAGTGATGTTTATTGAACATATATGAGAACTTTTTGGTCAGTGATAATCTGGCCTATTAATTTTACAGAGATGTAGAATGTAATCTCTTTGTAGTTATTTAAAGGAAGGAAAGGAAAACCAAATGTCTTAGACACTTGGCCATCTGAGTGAAATGTGTAGGGTAGAGTTCTTTACCTTTTTTTTTTTTTTTTAAATTACAGAATTTGTTCACATGATTGACATTTGGTTAGATTGAATGGATAGAAAACTCTTTAGCACTGAAACATTTTTCAGTAGGGGACTGGGACCCCTATAATTTAGGGGTTTTGTTTAGGGAGGGGAAGGGATATATGGCAGAATCACCAGTGAGTGGCATTTCTGGTGGTGATGGCACCTTTTTTCTTTCAGCTCTGATTAGAGTGGATAGCAGTGGGAATAGGTGCATTCTACTTTGGGTACAAGTTTTACTAGGCTGAGTACATTCATTTTGTTTTGGGAGAATATGAGTAAAGGAAGGGGTCAGGCTCCAGAGTAAGGCAACCTGTATTCAAATGGATTCTTTTGTTGATTAGCTGACAAATTATTTATATACATAAATCTCTTAATACAATATCTGGCATAATAAGTGCTCATTGAGCCTTACTAGCATCATCCATTAGCCTAAATATCAAATAGGAGGCATTTGGATTGTCTAGGGCAGATAGACATACAGAACAGCTCTGGTATTATAATTAGGAAAATACTTAAAGCTTAACTTGTATCTAATTCTTTCTCTAAAAAGTTAATTTAAAGTGAATTTTCCCATAATACTTTATCTTTCCTTTAAAAGATAACATGCACTTTTTTTTCCCCTGTAGGAGATGGAAAGAACAGTTCATATGTTTGAGACATTCCTATGAACTTTTCAAGATGAGTGGTTTATCCTCTCCAATCTGCTCCTGACAGAGCAGTCTTCTGAGCCATTCGATTTCAAATTGCACCAATTATGTGCAGAGCCTTGGTGTAAAGTGCTCTCTCACTCATCCTTTCTCTCTGTTGAATTTGGTGCTATTGTCTCAGGTACCTGAAACCAACCAGCCTACAAGAACCAAACAGAACTTCAGAAACATGTTGTATTTTCCACAAATAAAAAATACAACCCCACAGATTGGAGATTTTGGTGCTACAGAAACTGCTCTCACTTCTGCTCCTCTTTTCGTGCACTCTCTTTTGGAGATTTCTCTCTTAGGGAGCAGACCAGCAAACGCGAGGAAACCGGATGGGGCAGTTCTCTAACTGTGTTGAATTGTTTAAACAGTGGGCAACCTGTTTTGTTTCTTGTTTTTTTTGTTTTTTTCCTTCCCCTCCTTTCTGCTCCTTTTAGCATACTTGTTTTTATTTTTTCCTCTGGGTAATGGACTGAAACCTGTTTTAGAGTTGGCTATGGTGTATTCTGGTGGGAAACTGAAGAAACTGGATGAAATTAGATTAGGCTCTTTAGAACTGACTTTAATGTGCCTTTTAATTCATTTGAGAAAGATAAGGCTAAACAAAAGGATGGGCTTGTTTGTAGCAAATCAATTAGAATGTCTTGAAAATACGTTTTGATACTCTGTCATTGAGAGACGACCAGTGTTTTGGTATAAAATGGCCTATCTTGTTTTCAAAACTCAATCAAGACACTCATTAAGCCACATGATATACTAAAATGGTAAGTTTTCCTGTATGGTCTGTTTCTGTTTCAGAAACATGTAATAAAACAACAACAACAACAAATACTACCCAGTCCACTAAAAAACCCACACGTTTCCAGTATTGCAGACAATGATGACCAGAAAATAGATAGATGACATTTTTTTCTTCTCTCAGTGGCAATTTAATCGTTATTCATGTTTGAGTTCCCAGAGAAGAATGATTTCATGTATAGTAAATTGTTACTGTTTTGTTTTAAAGCCAGGACTTGCCAAATGGACAGAAAAGAGGAATTTGTCAGAAGCTCCATAAAATTCATTTTCTGTATGCATAGTTGAAGGTGAGCTCTGGGATGGTCCTTGAGTAACAGTATTAATGTTTAAATCCCTTACCATAAGCTTACCTTCACAACTATTCATTTTGATTGGAACCTGTTTTGGATCTTGTCGAGTGATTTCTCTGACTTGTACTTACCTAAAATTAATTATGGGTTACTAGTTTTACAAAAACTTTCTACAAATTTGGAGACACAGTCTAGGCAGTTGCAAAGAGGCAAAGGGAGTGCAGTGACATTTTTTTATCAGATGATTTTTAAACAAAAAAAGTAGAAAATTTTGACAAGTTGGCTTGATAACTTCATTATAGCCGTTAGCTGCAGGTGTGTCTTTCCAATATATGCAACACATATAGCTTGGGTTTTAATTAGAGCAAATGGTCTTGGACTACTGCAGAGATACTGAGCTACCTCAGCTTTTTGTATTTTAGTTACCAGTAGTGTTTACAGAGTCCTGTAATCACTTTGCCACCGTTTACACGCTGAAGCTAAGGTACTTGTCTCCTTGTCTCTGGCTGTTCGTAGTGTGCCCAGCGCCAGCGCAAAAAGCACACTCTGGCCGTAGGCTACTGCAGTAATCTTAAGTGCTTCTTGGCATTTACATTAACATTTTGCGCCTTCTAATTATAGCTTAATTTTTAACAAATGCCACTTTTTTCTTTTTACCTAGTCTATGACGTTTTTGTAATATTCAGTTAGTCATGTAATTCAAGATGCTACCCGTGTAGACACACTGTATTTTTAAGGTGGGCAAGTGCGATTAACGATGAACCATTTTAAAGGGGAGGTTATTTGAAACCTCTAATTTGATTATTGGGAGGATTTTCATGCTTTCTTTATTAGTATTTATTACCATCATACCAGTTCAAACTATTTTACTGTCTAATACATTAGCATTTTGTATTTTGATGGAAATTGTTACAGAATTTAAAGATTTGATGAAATAAGATGTAGCAGATTTTTTGTAGCAAGTTTCTGCTAAAAGGGTTTTTTGCAAGTCTCAGGTTCTTGCTGCACTATTTTTTTTTAAATATTTATTCCAGTTACTCTAATTCAGAAGCATTCTGTTCAAGTAACAGCAGCACTTGTGAAAGGAAAAAAAACGCACATGTTCTTAGTAGGTTACTAAATTTGTACAAGTTAATTAAGATTTTAGCCATCAGTGGGTTTGACAAGGGAAATTTATTTATGTTTAGCATTAAAATGCTTCCAAAAGATCAAGTTTTTTTTTTTGTTTTTTGTGTTTTTTTTTAAATTTTAACCTTGATATAGATGGAGAAATAGGAGGCACCCTCTCAGTATGATAGGAACTGCCACTTTGAACAGTTTAGGTCTTAAAGAGAAAGCCAGTCTAATGCCAAGGGGAGAAAAATTAGCCGAAATTGTCTCTGCTCCCCTTCTGTCCCCTCCCCCCCCCAAAAAAAAACCCACACACTATACCAGTTTTGCTTACTTTACAGACATCTGGTGGTTCTATAGTTTAAAGCAGCTTGTGAAATTATCCAAGTGGACTCAATTTTGTTTACCTTTCTGTAAGTTCTTAATTTTTGCTGTATAGCATTGGCAAAAATATGTACAAATTGACCTCTGTTCTTATTTCCTATTGTGAGCATTATAAATGATAGCTCCTATGTAAAACTTTGCTCTCAGATCAGTAAAATATGTATCACAGCACAGCCCAACAATGGCTAATGCTCAGCTGTGGGGACCATGGGAGCTTTTTGAAGATGATGGAACCGTACTAGGGTTGAAACTGATGGCTGTGGAGTTAATTGTGTTTTTGAGCTTGAATCTCACCTGTGATTAATTTTTTTGTTTTGTTTTACGTCCTTTCATGACTTGATTTCTCTCATATGCCAATGTATTTGTAGGTTTACTGGATTTTATTTTTAGGGAGTGGGGTGGTAATATCTTCCCATTTTTTGATTAAGTTGGTTCAGCTATGGTGCTATTCGGTAGGTTATCTTCAGTGTCAGGTCCCGTAGCTGAATGCCATTGTTATTATAATTATTATTTGTAATCACATTGTAAGCTTGAATTTGGGCTTGTACCTGCATCTTTTGTATTTTGTACATTCATTTATTTAGACTTTGGGAGTCCTCTTTGGTTTCAGTCATGTATGTCTACTTTGTAGATTAAGTAGACTTCATCTACTATGGTCTGTTTTGGGTTTATAGTTTAATTTAGAATTGTGTTAAATTGATGTTTTGCATTTGACTTCATTTTACATTAGTTTGAAGTAAATTATTTAATTTTTGAATTCTGGAATTTTGAACATTTACTGTAATTTGTAATATAACTGCTGTGAAATACTTGAATAAAGATGGCAAGAAAAACCTGCCTTTCTTTAGCCTGATGATGATTGCTGTTGGCTGCAGATGCGGTGCTACCGTTCCAGCTGAACTCCCCTGTTTTGCAGCTAGGTAGGGCCTCGTGATGTTTATTAAGTATCCTGCCCCCAATCTTATTATAGGAGTCGTTTAGATTTTAGTAGCCCTCGGTATATCTTTGCTAAACGTTTTTCTGTTGGGAAAGTGTGGTTTTAATTCTAGTTGAAAATTGTCTAAAATACGTTGTCTAGAAGCAAATAGATTACTTCCGACATTGGTTTTTCTATTTGGAAGACTGTTTCAGTAGACCGTCAGGTAGTTTGGTTAACTTACTTTATAGTGTTTTCTCTGTAATAAGATAGTTACCAGCATACTTTGAATAGCACATAGAATTTAAATATGGAAGAATTTCATACCAGAATTTTGAGCGGCTTGTTGCTTCAAGGGAATAGGATGTTATTGGCTTTAGATCGCCTGTGTTTCTGCTATCTACCATGAGTTACCTTTTCATGTCTTGAGATTAGGATACTAATCTTAATAGAAGTCCTTTATGTATGTATGTTTGTTTGTTTGTTTCTTTCTTTCTTTCTTTCCTTCTTCTTTCCTTCCTTCCTTCCTTCCTTCCTTCCTTCCTTCCTTCCTTCCTTCCTTCCTTCCTTCCTTCCTTCCTTCCAATAAAAAGGAACTGGTTGAATTTGAATAAGACTTTGTTTTTCTTGATTTTGCAGATTGTATAAATTTTTATTTTTAATTGTTTGTGTATAGTAAAAGACTGGTAGTAATAAACCTGGGAAACAGGTTTTTAAAAATTTAGGCAAATGTTTGTAATTTTTTTAATGGTTTTTTCTTTTTTTTTTTTAGAGACAGAGCACAAGTGGGGGATGGGTAGAGAGAGAGAGAGGGAAGTACAGAATCTGAAGCTGACTCCAAGCTCTGAGCTGTGGGCACAGAGCTCAATGCAGGGCTTGAACCCACAAACCGTGAGATTATGACCTGACCCGAAGTCAGATTCTTAATGACTGAGCCACCATGCACTCCTAGCCAAATGCTCATATAAATGTAATAAGTGCATTTGAGTGTCAATCAAGTTTTTAGAGCTCTGGAGAGAAATTGGGCTTATTTATACAGTTTTAGTTTCGTTGGACTCAAAACTACAGTAAAGTGAGAGACTAATCTTTAAATATCTATTTCATGTTATCCTTATTCCCTAGCACCTATAGTTATCTGTTGGCTATATTTTTAAATATAAATTCCCTCTCTTACCTGCACAGTCGTGTCTGTTATGTCGTAGGCACTATGCTAGACGTATTCTCTGTTTTTAAGTAGCTTGTAGTCTGCTAGGGGAAGCTAGTGCAGATACCAGTGGTAATGATTCGATGGGATAAGGGCTATAACAGAAGGAGCACGGTGTTCAGAGTTATAAGAAGGGAATCCATTCATTCCATTTAAGAATGGGGAAAATGAAAGTCTTCAGAGAGTTGGCATTTTATTTGCTTTTTGTTTCTTTCAGGCTTTTTAGAGTCTATCCCCACTCTTCCAAAACTTTTCTTAGTTTTCTTGTGATCCTTCATATTACATCATATTATATTCATATAACATTCATACCACACACCCTGAAGTATCTTTATTTTCAACTTATTGAAATCTTACTCATATTTCAGGGCTGAGCTTAGATTGTACACCAGCATATCTCCCTTACTGTATTTTTCCTCCTCAGCATTTAGCTGTATTTTGTACTGCATAATACAATGAATTACTAATAGTCCTGAGGGAAAGGAAGTATCACATTTCTTCTGCATTCCATGTAG